GGGGGGGGGGAGGGGGGGGGGGGCGTACTCTTATGTTTTGCATGCCTTAGCGGTTAGACCATTGACCACGCGTCCTCGAGAGGACGGAGCATTGTTCCCACAGGACCGATCACCGATGGCCAATCGTTCCTTCCTACTTTGCCAAAGGTGGCTCAAAAATGTCTTCCCTAGTCTGTCTATCCTAACGATATCCCGCCTTTTCAAACCACTTCCTACTCCCCAGTACAGCTACCGTCCTCTCCTCTCTATTCCATGCCTCAAACATCTCCCTGTACATCCCTTGTATTTTTCCCAGCTCAGTCATGTACACCTCCCTCTCCTCTTCGTACCACGGACATTCCGCGACTACATGAACACGGTCTTCGCATTCGAAGCCGCAATCACATTTGAACTTGTCGTCTTCGTCGTCTGCCGTCCTATGTCTTCGTCGACGTTCTCGAAGGCCTATGTCCCCGGTCCTGAATTTGACCTTAAGCTTTGTCCCTGCATCCATTGGTCCATGTAGGAAATCCTTGAACCCTATTCCTTCTTTCAACATTCCGTACACTTTAGACCCTCCTTATCCTCGGTTTCTTTCCTTAGATTCTGTGATTCTCTCTCGGCACAAGCAAAATATATCTTCTTCTTGAACCCCTGTAGACCCTCCGTTTCCAGCGTTTCATCTTCGTGGATGTCTAACCCCTTCCATACGTCCTCTACAACCTTGACCCATTCCGTGGGTTGTCTACCCCTCTTTTTGTTTGCCCACCTTCGTCTCCCATACTATTATCGGCAACCTCTCCTCTCCCCATCCCGCACATGCGATACTGCCATGCAGCTTCCTTGCGTCTCTTCCCGACCGTAGGGATTGGATCCTAAATTCTGCCCTGACGGTTGCAGCACTTGTGCGCTTGGAGCATCCTAGGATGATTTTCGCTGCTTTCATCTGCGCCGCCTCGAGTTCTTTCACTACCTTCTTATTTCCTTCCCATACTTCTCCGGCGTACTCTAGCGGCGGTACGACTACGCTATGCAAAACCGCCAATTTGATGCGTGTATCGAGGTGCCGGTTTGCGAGTATCGGGTGCAGCTTCCATGCTCGTGCTTTGCCCTTTTCCGCTACCTTGGACATGTGTGCATTCCACGAGCAGTCTTTTGCGATCTCTACTCCGAGGTATGTGTACTGGTCCACTACTGCAATCTCCTCGGTTCCCCACTTACTTCCATCTTTGTTTTACTGGTTCCTCCCTGACCTTGTTGCACACCATGACGGTACTCTTCTTAACGTTGGCAGACAATCTCCACTTATCAGTAAACTTCTTCGCCGCGTCAATTTGTAGTTGCAGTCCCTCAGGGGTGTCCGACATATCAACAAAATCATCCGCAAACAGCATTCCTGGCACCGAAATTTCCGTGTCCCCTACTCTTACTCCCTTCCGGACTGCCTCTACGACTTCCAACGCATCGTTGATGAACACCTGGAACAATGTTGGGGGACAGCGTACAACCTTGTGGGACACCCTGCTCAATGTCAAAGAATTTAGACAGTTCTCTGTCTAGCATGACCGCGCTTTTCGTACACTCTGTCATCTTCTTCAGCACTCTACACCTTTCCCCCTTGATCTCGTACTTGGACAAATGTTTACACAGCCCATTTCTCCGTGCGGTATCGTATGCCTTTTTCACGTCCAGGAAGAAGCAGTACGTCGGCTTTCCCGCCCTCTTTCTACCTTGGATGATTCTCCCTACCGTGAGTGCGTGGTCTACGCACCCCCTCTTCTGTCGGAAACCTGCCTGGCCCTCACTAATGCTACGTTCCTTCTCCAATACTCCCACTATCCTATTTAGTTGGTTGTACAGCAGTAGTCGTCCGGACCAGGACCAAGGAAGAGAAGGCGGCTGTACAAGATGCCGAGCACATGACGGAAGCAAGGGACATAAACGTGGGAAATGTCACTAGCCTTTGATAATGCAGCAAACATCTCGTAACGTCAGAAAGTAAGGTCGTAGTCCACCAGTGGTGCCGCATCGGGAGTGGACATCAGAGCAGTGTTTTGTCTACAATGTATATATACTGCTGCTGCTGCTGTCGCCGTACCTTGGGTGATGCTTGCCTATTGGGGCGTTTGAATAATTACGGGGGGATATAAGATCGAGGCTTTCTTTCTCAATACTCTCTCGCAGCACAGAGGCATACAGGTAGTGAAAAAAATGTGTACGTGGGTAGGTCGGTAGGGAACAAGAAGGAAGGGCGGCCACTATACATACGCAGCAAGAGGGCTACAGGCTACAGGGCGCCGCTTATTCGACGGTACGATAGGTGGGGGTGTACCCCGATTTCAGACGTTTTACACTGGCAACGGCGATGTTCACACACTGCCTAGTATCGGTATGCATCATGCTGATCCTGCGGCGTGGCCGGTGATGCCTAAGGACACCAGTCACGAGTCACGAGGTCGGAGGCCGGGCCGGGGATGCGGCGAGATTAGAAATTCAAAATCTACACACAAGAATAGACGACCAATCAACGTGGCGCAATTTGTTCCCGCTCACGCAATGATGTGCCCGGACGTCGCAGAACATGATACCTCTTCCCTCTTGCCTCTTGCCTCGCCCTAACCCCGACCTCCTCACAACAACAACTCTCTCCTCTTCCCAAGAAGAACACACCTCACACAAACATGTCTGGACGCGGAAAGGGCGGTAAGGGTCTGGGCAAGGGCGGCGCCAAGCGCCACCGCAAGGTACTGCGCGACAACATCCAGGGCATCACCAAGCCCGCCATCCGCCGCCTGGCTCGCCGTGGCGGTGTGAAGCGTATCTCGGGACTCATCTACGAGGAGACCCGCGGCGTGCTCAAGGTGTTCCTCGAGAATGTCATCCGTGACTCGGTAACCTACACCGAACACGCCCGCCGCAAGACCGTGACGGCCATGGACGTGGTGTACGCCCTCAAGCGCCAGGGCCGCACCCTCTACGGTTTCGGCGGCTAAAGCTAGCCCATCATCATCCTGCCCTGCTTCAGCAAGACAAGAGGTTCAACGCTCTCACCGTCCTGGTCGAGACGCTCCCCTCACAACCAACCTGGTGTTTACTCAACACCACCCAACTCACCAAAGATGAAACTGCAAATACCGAGACGCGCGGAGACGTGGGTGTGTCATGACTGTGATTTTCCATCTGTGCGCCTCTGAACGGTGGTTTTCCTGGCGTCTGGTATAATAATACATCGTCCACATGCAGTGAACACGTAGTATTCTGAGTGAAGCGGGAGGTCTGCAGATGCAGGGTATAGTACTGGTGATCCCGTGGTCCCTCTATTTAGCTGAGGTAACCCTTGTTCGTGCTTCTCCAGCCGAAACTGCTCAACCACGCCATGGCGCACATATACCCTCCTCGTACATTTTTAATTTTAGTTGCGGCATCTCGAGCAACAACAATAAATAATATCGAACGCCTCTACGCCGCCTTGTGCGTCTCGTTCTTCCTGGCGCGGCGATCGTGATGGTGTGGGAGACAGATATGTAGATGATGCGGACGCCGCCGCCCGCGGCGACGAGTGGTCCCCGAACTTCGCCGACCACGGTGGAGCTCATCCGCAATAGGCTTATTACTCGCCGGCGGACCAGCAAACCATGCCCGGCTTGAGTGCCGACCCGAGATACGCTGCGGCATCCGGGCGACAGAGTTCGAGCTCCCCAGCGCCAGTCAGTATCTATCTGTGGTTAAGATCATAGAGACCGCTTGAGGGCGCCGATTGCTCGGGGGGGTCGTGTGAGCCCGATGAATGCCCGGCAACGGCCGGGCGTTTTGAACGGGCAACCAGCCTGCAATAATAAGCGGTAAATCACAGGGACCTGTAAGCATTGAACAACAATTTTTTCTCCTACCTAGATATGGGATATGGGTCCGTCCTGATGTTGTAAGTGAAGGTACGTACAAACATGCACGTAGGCGTGCATGCAGCAGGTAATTCGCCGGTGTGTTCATACGCATGCACATGCTTCTTGGCTTGTCTACAACACAGCCAACTCAGGGGGCGGCGGAGAGGCAAAGACAATTGACCAACCGTTACGGCTGTTTCCTCTCTTTTCTAGTTTTTTCTTCCAAGCGTCGGGAAGCAATCAAACATCCTGCCACGCCAGTTTTTCACCATTTGGCTTGGTATCGTGACTGGACTATGGTAGGCGCCTCGGAATCTCTTTACAAAAGATCAAAAACAAGCACGGCAGACAGTAATAACCCTAAACCCCAAACCCTAAACTACCCACATAGAACAAACGCTACAATAGGAGTCTTCTTCGTCATGCATCACACTGACGTACGATCGATCGAGCCATCTCCAGACGATAAACGCGAGCATTGCATGCCCATCCACGTATTTTTTTCCTACTAATTCACTCAGTCTGAACAACAAAATAAAAGTACGTGCACACGGTACTACAGCAGTGTGTCCGTATTCCCGGAAATGATGAATCTCATATGAATCTACAGTGCAGCGGTCTTCGGCGTCGAGTTGTCCAGCGCGTCATCTTCCGGCGGTCTACAATTGCTTTCCGCATCGCCCGTTCCGTCCCCCGACACCCGACTGCTAGGAACGGGGCGCGTGGCGGCAACCATGCTGATCCCAGTCTCCTCAGCGGTACCGTTTGAAGCGACAGCGCTAGCACCAGCACCGGTATCTTCTCTCGGAGAAGCTTCTTGCGCCTCAAGAGGTTCGTCCTCCGTGTGCTTGCTTCGCATCGGGGTGCTAGTGGTCGATGAAGTAGTCATGGCAACCCCCGTCGCAGCTTGCAGAATTTTCAGAGACGCCCCGGTCGGCAGGCCTCTGCGAATTTTCGACGGGGACAGGGTTATTCTCCCCGCGGCCTTTGTTCCTGCTCCAACCGCACCGACGCTGCCGCTTGTCGCTGGGTCAGCTTGATGCCTCGATCCTTCGTCCGAAAATGCCCTCGGTTTTGGTCCGCTTTTTCTAACGTAGCCGGTCACGCCCGCCTTGTTGTTGCCGCTGCCGTCGGTGTTGTTGCCGTCGGTGTTCCCTCCGCCGTGGGGCTCCGCCCGCGACGCGTGGTGGGGCTCTTCTTCCTCTTGCTTGGACATGGACATGACGGTATCGAAGGAAGCCTTGCTGATGCGCACGCAGCGAAGGCGCTCGCTCCCCGCGTGCGCGGAGAAGTCCGGCTTGTACGCCCCCTCGTCCTCCACAAGGGCGTCGGCTCCGAGAACGGTCCAAGGACCGGCGTCGGAACGAAAGCCTGCCCAATCAAATCGAAACCCACGGCAGGACAAATCAGATCGGTTCGGGTGATTGGACACGCGTGACAAGGGACTGACGGGACGCGAAGGTGCCATTCTACCATCAACGGACAGATCACACAAGCGGCGAGGCACGATAACAAGACAGCAGCGGATACTGCTGTACCCGCGGACTCTCTGTTGGCAATCACTCGCGTTGTTTCCGGAAGGATAACGGTGGAAGGTGGGACGGACGAAATCTGCAGTTGGCAGCAATGATGAACCTGCTCTGGCTAGAAACATGGCGCGAATAAAAAAAAACGGGGGATGGGGAAGCGATCCAGTGCATTGTAATGCCGACTGTTCGACATCCGTCCGTAATGGCAGAACACAACACCAGGAACAGACATACCCCAGTGTGGCAGCCACCAAATCAACCCACGGGTCTGCACACAAGGTAAAATTGCGTCCAACTCATGCCCCGTAGGCTTAATTATCTGAATTTCGTCGTCCCTACGAACAGCGACTTACAACCGGCACCCCAGAGAATTGTATGTGCGCACTTTGCTACCTGCCCAAGAAGACATCAACCATGCCGAAAAAAAGAATGACACGATCATCAATACAAGACGAAACTCTCCGATCGGTACTACTCTTGTTCCTGATCCCCTGCAAGTCTAGGCAGGCTCAATCGTACTGACCGTCTCTGCCGGCCAAGACGACCACCTTGCCCGTGAGAATGAGGGTGCACATGGTGCTCGTGCGTCCTCGGCGATACAGCACCTCCGCTGGTGCCGGCTCCGACCTGCCGGTGTGTTTGTCCTGCCGCGTCGTGCATACATACACACAATTAATTGTACAGAACGTAGGCCGGTCCCAAAAAGGTGAGTGAAAAGGCACAATCTCCCTGCTTGCCATCGCCCCTGCTTGTCATCGGGGGATGGGACCCAAGTGACCCGTTAGTCGAGTCCGTCATGTTGTGAGCCCATTGTCCCCTCGCCCAGCATCAACTTCTTCCCCTTGTCCCAATGCGGTTGCGCACCTTAAGACCAACACTGATGACAGTATTCGCGTTGGTACACACGCCACGATGACAAAAGCGAAGGTAGACAAAGCTACGTACTACCCGCATCGATATCTCGGCCAAGAAAATCATGTGTCAAAGAGTTACTCAAGGCCCGCTCTCTCTGACTCACAACGGAGAAAGGCGAAAACTCGCACTACTTGCGGAAAAGCGTAATTGACACCTTGCAACAACTCTGTACCTTGAAAGAAAACCTGGAACTGATACCAAAAACAAGTAATGGTCCATGCATGCGAAGCCATGTGCGCGTGCACGCTCACTACAACAGAGAGAAGAAAACTGCAAGGGAGAAAAGAAAGGACTGAGAAATTACCGGGGAAACTCCACAATCTCCGGCGCCGCCGTGATCTACGTTCCTTCAGGGCTGGGCGACGGCGTAGGGGGCTGACCGTTTGTGGCTAAATCGGTCAAGAATGACTCGCGAGCGAACAGCTTGTGATGAGATTTTCGTTCGGTTCTATCGTACCGCAACCCCCACGACGTAATTACCTACCTCTTTGTTTACTTCCACCACAGGAGAAGCTGCGATGATCGACTCCACGTGGCTCACGTTGATGCCTTCGAACTGCTCGCGCGGGGGGGAGGAACACATCAACCAAGGGTTTCGCGTCATGAGTGCCACGGAGGAGCCGGGAAGGCGACAGGGATTAGCGATACAGTCGTTGGTATGAGCGGGGCAGAGCGCGAACGGCGTGCAAACAGCGTCTTTTCGAATGCGTATCGTGCTGTCCCTGAGACGCTTCGCATGAAACAGAGCGTTCGCAGAGGGAGCGGGGAGTGGCAAGGAACGTTGCCAATGCACGCGTGTAGGTCATCGTCATGAAAATCGTGCAACGTGGCGGCAGATGGCACAGTGAGCAGGAGGTATGAGGTGAACAAGTGAGAGGGACGGCCTTGTAATGACACCAGCAACCAAGAAACAGGCACCAGTTTAAACAAAAACTACACTTCTGCAATAGGGTTATTCAGATTTGCTGCTACACACGCCGAAACGGCGCGATAATTTTCGCCGCGTTTTGCCAATTGTGCTCGTCATGTCTTCCGTGCCCACCTGAGGCACGTTGGCCATGAGGTGCGACGCCACGGCCTTAGCCTCGTCGGTCGAAAGGGCAGACTTGTCGGCGTTGGCGTTCAGGAGCTGGAGACGGGACATGTCGAACTGGCTCCTTTGCACCGGCAGCTGCGACACACGCCGCGCAAGCGAAACGACAAATCAAACACAAGCCGTGTGTTAACACGTACCGCGTGTTAAACACACAGCAGTAGAACACGGCATCGTTGGTGGCCTTGAGGAACGACAGCACAATACGAAGGGTGGGCATCCCATGTGTCCGGTAGCGATGCTGTCTCATGGCAAGGTAGACGATCTGCCCTCCCCCCCACTCACACCCTCTCTCTAGAACCGTGCTATACAAGCTATACAAGGGTGCGTTTGGAGTTGGGGCGGTTCCCCGGAGGATTGAAATCAGACGCACTCAAAGGAGACATTTCAGCGCCCACTCCTACAAGCACAATGGAGTAGTGCAACCCCTTTTTGTGTGTCGGCAGAAGCCCATTCCGGTGGATACGAATCGCACTGGAATCACATAAGAGAATCGGGCCGCACTAAGAGCCCCACAACCTCAGGCAAGCAACGGGCGCGATGGCTGTCCCACCCCTGAGCGGGCCAAGAGAACACCAGGCTCTGACTTCTGAGCTGATGTTGAAAGGAGACAAGTCGCGTATTTTGTGGTTTCGTGCGTCGTTCTTCACGTCAAAAAAAAACTTGCCACGATTTGCACCTTTTCTTCGCACGCGAGTAAAGGAGGACCACTGCTACTACTCCTACGACGTCGTGCACCTACCTGGTTCTGCATATCGACAAAGGCGTCGGTCTCGTCGACAATCTCATCTCCCAGGATCTCTTCGATTATGTCCTCCAAGGTGATGATGCCCACCACTTCGTAGAATGGATCTCCCTGGAACCAGCGGCAGAGGTGGCGGATGGAGGGAGAACAAACCGAGCGCCAATGTCAGCGCCGTCAACTACAGCAGTATCAGTAAGTTTCGATCGCCTCGTCTTCGTCCCAAGCGATCCGCGAATCTGCGCATGGCACTATTAGGGGGTGTTCATCCCGGCTGACCTCTGCACAAAGAAAAGAAACACCCGAAGCCGTGCAAGCGGCTGTGCTTTCGTTGGTGAAGCTGTGCATCAGACCCTTTCATCTCAGCCTAATCGGACGAACAGTGCACATCTTATGGCGGTTGGCCAAAACTAGACACGTGAAATCGGGGTTCGTTCATTCCCAGAAAGAGCGGGAGGCCTCCATTGCTAGGAAAGGGCGGATATGCAGGCCCGCACACCTCCTCTGCGCGTCCAGAGTTGCGGTGAACATTCTCGTCCATAATACTCACACGAAAATTGTGTCGCATATGAAAAAATCACAAAAGAGATTATTTCCCCCAGTATATCTTGCTGAACACGATTGCTTTCCGGGGGTTGGCTTTGGGCCGACATTAATGGAAAATGAAACCGACATGCCCAACTTTTCTGCCCCCAACAATGCCCGCGGGCTTACGCCCCACTGAACCTCGCTATCTGGCACAAGGGGTGCTGTATCCAATTCGTCACTCCCTTTCCACTCATAATCATGCCCCTCGAACCTAACAGAAGCATGACACCACATACCTCGCCGGCGTCGTTGACGTCCCGCACGAGACTCAGGTGGCTCTTCCCCTGCTTGAAGACATTTAGCACGTCCCCGAGGGTAAAATCCGGCCAGACCACCTGGAGGGCGAGCAGGTTAACGATGACGGGTACGACGGCAATGGTGACAGTTATCAACAGTAGCGACAACCCACACATGGCGGCATGGTGCCGTCCGCGATGACGTGGCGCGCTGGTACCGTATCGTGGGACCAGTGCATGTCACCAACAATGACATGGTCGCCTTCGATCACATCAAGCAAATAGCAGAACACAACTGTGAAGGCAGGGTGTCGCGGTTTGATGCAGCTGCAGCTGTAAATTGCGTTCAAATTAATTGCGCCGCGGTGCGTCCACGGAACACTCTTTACACGTGGTCGAAGTGATTTCGCGGGTGGCGCCCATTGGCAACAAACACGCCTAGGAATACGCAATAGCAGGGTACAACATACAACAGCAGTAGTAGTGTCGTAAGTTCAAAGGTTAACCTCGGCAATAGCCTTTTCCATATATACACGGCGACTACACTTGTACGAAAGACAACAAAGGGGCGGTGGTGTTCAGTCACACGAAAATGCGATAGGCATACGTACAGACCCATATGCCGACGATGGAAGAGGGGAAAAGCCATCGACGGCTGACAAACTTACCTCATTCTGTTCTGTTTTAGTTTTTGGTTTTGTCTTCTACCGTGGACCATGTACTCGGGCACTCAAGCAGAGCAGGGCCGTGCATGCAGCGTGGGGTCATGTGGCAGCAACAACAACAACAACAACAGCAGCAGCAGTAGCTACAAGGCACGCTTACCGTGACCGCCCTGCCGAAAATCTGTACGAAGTTTTTTAGAGGCGTTTCGTCATCGGGGTCGATGAAGATGAGGTCCTTCGTGAACAGCAGCCCGATCACGTCGTTGCGGTCTTTGGCGAACACCGGGATGCGGCTGAAACCGCTCTTGAAGATGACCGAAAGCGTCTGAGCGAGGCGAGGCGAGGCGACACCAAGGGATAGTCGTGAAGGATGAGACACACAACCCGTGTCAGACAAAACATTCCAACATACATGGTAAAAAGCAACAATCGTGTACAACATCATGCGCGGGTCAGCTAAAGTGTTCGCTTAGGTCGATTGCAAACGAGAGTACGTGACACCCCATCATGTGTCAACGCAAGGGCAAGGTGGTTATCAGCCTCCAATAGCGGACGCCAATGACAGAGACAGCGTGCAAGGATCGCGGGAAGAGCAACCAGCAGGTTTCGTGAGGGGACATTTCCACCCATGGCGGCGATGTGCGTCGTCCTTCAACATGACCGCCCCCGTATTTCCTCGCTGCCCGCACCCCCTTTTCTCCGCCTTTCTATCTGCGTCGCCCCCTGCCTCTCGCCGCTGCCTGTTTCCTCCGCTCCTTCCCGTTGTTCCTCTTCATCGAAAAATCGTTTTTCGTCCGCGTGTCTATTTTTGTCGGTTTGCCCT